GTAGTAATCAGTGGGCCGAACCAGACCAGTGCTTTATAATATTCAATTTTCATAGAGTTTCTGAGCTCTAGAAATAGGGCTCTCAAGTCAACACTAGCTGCTGCTAGCTAATTTTTCAGTAGTTTGAAAAGTGCTTTTCAATATCAGAGACACATTCACAAGCCAAAAACGTGCTTAGGTCCCTTAGTTTGGAGTGGGACTTGATCTCTTGTACATGGTTTACTTCGTGGTATTTCAGAGTGGAGAGAGTATGCTTGTTTCATAAGTCTACCTACCCACACTTTCTAGGCACTAGATACTAGTCTATTCACAATAGCTGTGATTTTTCACTCATAGGGAAGTACACAGATTCTTAATTTCAGCAAGTATTTAACTATTGCAGTTTTATCCCCATGTTTCCACGGACAGAGAGGGAGAAGAGAATAATTTCCCCTTGGGTCTTGCAAGTTTTCAGAAATGTATTCCTGTATTGGAGAAGCACCCAGATGTTGCTCCACAACTTTGACTGGGAAGGGATTCTCCTGCTTCCTCTGAATGCCGTGCTCCTTGTATGCTTCCTGTTGTGCCCTTCCTTTCTAAAAAGAGCAAAACAAAACTGCAGCTGATGAACTTGCAGGTGTTGCAGAGAGCCTGCTGCTGTTGAAGGGTTTCCTGAAAGGCTCTGGGCAGGAGGCAGGTGCTGATATGAGGGGAGGTCTTGAGTCAAGACAGCAGCCCCCCATCCCTTCATCTCATTGTCTTTGCCAGGTGCGCCCAGGCCATCCTCGAGGTGGATGCCAGCCAAGTTCACTCCAAGGACCCACGCTATGAAGCCACTCCGCTGCACTGGGCAAAGAAGGCAGAGGTGAATGAAGCCAACCTGTGGCCAGGGCCTGTGCTGCCACCCAGCACCCATTTATTTCCTCCTGCTCCTCTCCTTTTCCTGAGTGCATGTGCAGAGCCCTGGGGGTGTTAGAGCCCAGCCAGCAGCCTGGTGTTTGATTCTCTTTGCCCTGTGCTGATCAGTGCTGTTTGCCACGGGGAACAGAGCAGTGGAGCCTTGTAGTGAAACAAGCTGGTGGCCTCATCCCTAGTATGTCATCCTTGGCTGTGAACCTGCCAGCTTGTCCCTTTTCCCCTTTTGTTGGGGAAATTGCAGCAGTGTCACTGTTAACCCCTGGGGGGAGCTCTCCTCTCATTACTGACAGTTCCACGGAAGAAGGCCGATTGATGCCTTGAAAAACGCAGGGAGAATGTGAGGTAGGCACAGCGTGGTGGCACGTGCATTATGGTCCATCTTCTGCCAGAGGTGGGCAGATCAGTGGTGTGATGTGCCATGCTGGAGCATCTCAATGGTGCTTGTTGCAAGCAGAGGACATTCCTATGGCAGGACTGTTTTCCTTCCTGCAGTATCACATCCCTCTCAGAAACGTCCGGTGGAGTTTTAGAGCAGACATAAATCTGCTTGGCTTATAAAGAGAAGATCAAAAAGCAGACTTTTTCCCTCCAGTCTGCAAGGATTCTGGCCTGAGTAAGAACTGGGTTTTTTCTCCATGGCTCTCGGCCAGTTGCTACACTTGCATATAAGTCCCAAAACGTCCAGAAGCTCTAACCAGATTGTGAAACCACCAGCTAGTTCTGTGGTAAAAGAAGAGGAATCCCATCTCCAGTGCTTGGGGCAGTGCAGCTGGCATCTGCCAGCCGGCCGTGT